ACTTAGCAGTAACACCCACTCGAACAGCAAGTTGTTTAGCTGTAAACTTACACACAGCTGAAGCCTCCCAGGCCTCTCCACCTGATTAGCACCATCCTCACCTACCTATTGCTGCAAAAAAAAAAAAAAACAACTCCTAACTGGAGTCCCCACTTCAATACTTTCTCAACTCCAAAAGCCAACTGTGGCTGGACATGACTTTGGGAGGCCGAGGCAGGCGGATCATCTGAGGTCAGGAGTTCAAGAACAGCCCGACCAAAATGGAGAAACCCCATCTCTACTAAAAATACAACAAAATTATGGTGGTGTGTGCCTGTAATCCCAGCTATTCAGGAGGCTGAGGCAGGAGAATCACTTGAACCCAGTGGGTGGAGGTTGTGTTATGCCGAGATCGCACCATTGCACTCCAGCCCGGGCAACAAGAGCGAAACTGTCTCAAAAAAAAAAAAAAAAAAAAAAGACAAGTGTTCTTTTTAAACCATAAATCAGAAGTCACTCTCCTGCTTCAGACTCCCCAAGGATTTCCTACGCACTGCAAATAAAGTCTAAACTACTATAATGACCCAAGGCCCTACTCAATTTGGCCTGCTACTTTCCAGATTGCTCACTAGGCCCCAGCAATGTGAGTTTCCTTTCAGTTTCTTCAGAGCCCTTCTCTGCCAAGCCCTTCCTAGTCAGGTCTTTGTCCTTCTTTACTCTCTGCCAGGAATGCTGTTCCTGGCTCATTCAAGTGGCTAGCTCCTCCTCAAACTTAAGGTCTTAGTTCAAATATCATCTCAAAAGAGTCTTTCCAACCACCCTGCATATAAGTTCCCACCAGTTACTCTCAATCACATCACCCTTTTGGTTCCTTTGTAGGTTTACCATAATCTGAAATGGATTATGTACTTTATTTTATTTGTTTATATTCTGTCTTCTCTCACTAGAATAAAAACTACCTGTTTGATTCTCTAAAATATTTGTTGAATAAAATAAACAAGCATACTCTCATTCATGGGTCTGTTTTTTTAAAAGAAATAAACAAGAAATATACAAGGCTTATTTGTATTACACAGAACTTATTTGAAGCAAAGTTTGAAAATCTACTGAGACATAATCTATTTGAACACAGTACAGAAAGTACATAAAGATGTTAATTTCCCCAAACTTCATTTACAATTTCAGTATTCCCAATCAATATTCACAAGATTAAATAAAAATCTCTGTAAGGTTTCTTTGAATGTCACATAATGATTCTAAAGTTCATCTAGAAGAATATATAGACCAGAATTGTCAAAGTCTGAAAACAAAAAAAAAAAGAGTAATGAACAGGTGACTAACCCCATCTATATCAAAATTACAAAATGATAGTAATTTAAAGCATATGATAATACACAAGAGATCAAAATAAAATAATAAGACCGATGAGAAACAGTCCCAAACACATTTAGTAAATGAAAAAAGTTACAATTCTAACACTGGGGCAAAAAACAGATTATTCACTAAATGGTGCTGACACAACTAGCTAGATGGGGTAGAATTCACACACAATTTTATCCCCAAAATATGTCTCACTTCCTATACCGGAAATAAATTTCTGATGGATCAAAGAATTAGAAGTTTTAAAAAGGAAAAGGAGGAAAAAAAAATTAAAGTATTAAATTACAATCTGGGGATTTCTTTGTTTTAAAAATACAAAAAGGCATGCAGTCAAAAAGTCTTCCTCTCACTCATTCTTTTACTGACAACCAATGTTTCCAAGCATCATATATCCTGTGTTACACAAGCAAACATGCATACATTGTTTTTCATCTTTAAAGCAATGACTGCAACTATCTTGCATGTTCTGCACACGTACCCCAAAACCTAAAATGCAATTAAAAAAAAAGCAATGACACAGAAAGACATTTTATATATAATGTTCCTCATTTTGTTCTTCTAGATTAGTAGATGGGTTAATATTTTACATTTTAGAGTAAGGAAAGTCTTAAGTAGAGAACAAAACCCAAAGTCCAATATAGACTAATAATAGTTATAGCTAACATTTATTGAGTATTTACTTACTTTGTGCCAGCCACTATGCCTAATGCTATTTACATTATCTCCATTTTACAAATAAGGAAATTAAGGTCTAGAGAGGTTAAGTAATGTGCCCAAGGTCCCACAGCAGCATAGTGCTGGGTTTGGATATATCTGACTACATTTGGATATATCTGACTATGTTACAAAAGAATAGCTATATGCACACATATGAAAAAAATAAGTAAGGCCGGTGTGGGGGCTCACACCTGTAATCTCAGCACTTTGGGAGGCTGAGGCAGGTGGATCACCTGAGGTTGGGAGTTCGAGACCAGCCTGGACAATATGGAGAAACCCTGTCTCTACTAAAAATACACTCAGGAAGCTGAGGCAGGAGAGTCACTTGAACCCAGGAGGCAGAGGTTGCTATAAGGTGATATCGAGCCATTGTACCCCAACCTGGGCAACAAGGGCAAAACTCCATCTCAAAAAGAAAAAAGTGAATATCCTAATATGCAAAGAACTTTTCAATCTGGAAAAAAATAATAAGCCCATCAGAAAATAACCAAAGAACAAAAGTAGGCAATTTATAAAAGAAATACAGCCAGGCACAGTGGTACATGCCTGTAATTCCAGCACTTTGGGAGGCCAAGGCAGGCAAATCACCTGAGGTCAGGAGTTCGAGACCAGCCTGACTAATATAGTGAAACTCAATTTCTACTAACAGACAAATTAGCCAGGCATGGTGGCGGGTGCCTGTAATCCCATCTACTTGGGATACTGAGGCAGGAGAATAGCATGAACCCAGGAGGTGGAGGTTGCAGTGAGCAGAGATCACACCACTGCACTCTAGCCTGAGCAACAAGAGCAAAACTCCGTCTGAAAAAGAAAAAAAAAGAAAGACAACCCTCCCCATATTAAAAAATGTTCAGCCTCAATAATGACTGATAGAAGGCCAATCAGAGTCACATTTTTTCAGTTCCTAAATTGTCAAAATGTCTGAAACTGTAATATCTAGTATTGGCCACGGTATGGGGCATATCTGAATACTACTGGTAGCTTTACGAATTGGTATGACCATCTTTCAGAAGGAAAATGGTCAGTATCTATCCAAATCTACATTATTCATTTTTTGATTCAGCAACTTCACTTGTAGGAGTCTATTCAACAAAGCTGTTTGTACAAGTACACAAAATATACACATATACATATGTACATGTGCATAAATATTAATATACATACAATTGTTTAAAGCTTTGTTTCTCTGGCAAAAAAAAAAATCTAGTGACCATAGCTGATTTTATGGAATTTTCCTTTTTTTTTTTTGAAACGGAGTCTCACTCTGTCACCCAGGCTGGAGTGCAGTGGCATGATCTCGGCTCACTGCAACCTCCACCTCCAGGGTTCAAGTGATTATCCTGCCTCAGCCTCCCGAGTAGCTGGGATTACAGGTGCATGCCACCACACCCGGCTAATTTTTTTATTTTCAGTAGAAATGGGGTTTCATCATGTTGGCCAGGCTGGTCTCAAACTCCTGACTTCAAGTGATCCATCTGCCTCAGCCTCCCAAAGTGCTGGGATTACACGAGTGAGCCACCACGCCCAGCAAATAATGGTATTTTCCTGTAGTAGAAATGGGATATTAAGTTGCTGTTAATAATTGATAGAGTTAACACTGAAATAAACAGACAAACTTGGAACAGTAGTATACAAAAGAACAGTGTATTATGATTCCTTCATACAGAAAATTATACACACACAGAAAAAAATGGGAAGAATATGTAATGAACTCTCAGTAGATTACATCCAGGAAATGTCCTTTCAATTTCAGTACATATATAAAATAATGTATTACTTATAATTAATGGAAGATAAGATTTTAAAATAGCATATCCTCCTTCACGCATTAAAATGATTTTGTGGCTTCTGAGCCTTTTGGCTAAGATCAAGTGTAAAATGATTCTGTTTGAATATAAAGTAACTTCTCCTCCCTCCCGTCTCAACAGAATGTATATACATGTACATCAGGTATATTTACATTATGCATATTTTAGGTTATAACTCTTAGCACAAGTTTTTACTTCATTCCCAATACATAAAAGTTATTGTAATTCAAAAATGAATTTTAAAAACTTTAAGGTAAAGTTAAACATCTTTGAACAGAAACTCAAAGTCATGATGATGACTATTTAAACATTTTCAAAATTACATAAATTTGTATGTTATTGCCAAGGGAAATGAATTGCCTAAAACAAAGTACTCTGAATGTGAACTGTGTATGACAGTGATAATGGCAAGAAGAATGTCTGTCAGTTCAACGGAAGTATGGGGTAAAGGGACAATCTATAAGCATAAAAGTAACTCTCATAATAAATCTAAGAGTCAAATTTTCCTAGAAAAATGTAACCTTAATATACTTGGGTTTGATATCAGTTTATTTATGTATAACAAAGAATAAAATCAGCCAAACAGCACAAATTTTGTTCGAGTGCACTATAATGGGGGAAAGAAATCCAAGCAAGTTGGGAATCTTGACTTTTCCTTTACTCTTGACTAATCTACTTAAAAAATTATTTATATAAAACTAGTCAATACTGTTCTTTCAAAGGAGTCCCAAATTCTATTATGATCCCATCAACCAACCATTCCATATTTCTAACACAATTTTTTCCTAGGATTGAAACTACTCCAAAATTTCCTACATATATAAATTAAAACACTCTTGCATTCTAATATTATCTAAAACTATGAGTGCTGCCTGGGATGAACCAATCCCATGTTTAGTTTCTCTTCCACCCAAAAATCTCAATAAACAGAACTTAAAAAAAAAAAAAAAAGAAATGCTTTTAACTGGGCCCAGTGGCCCACACCTGTAATCCCAGCACTTCAGGAGGCCAAGGTGGGAGGATCACTTGAGCCTAGCAATTTGAGGTCAGCCTGGGCAACATAGTGAGACCCTGTTTCTACAAAACACAACACTGACTAGCTGTGGTGGCACATACCTGTAGTTCCAGCTACTCAGGAGGACCACATGAGCCCAGGAGTTGGAGGCTGCATTGAACTATGATCGCACCACTGCACTCTAGCCTGGGCAACAGAGAGAAACTGTAAAAAAGAAAAAAGAAACTATTTCATGTGGTTTTTTTTTCTTCTTTTTTGTAAAAAAAGAAGAAAAAAAAACCACATGAAATATTTTGATAATTTACTGATTACAGCTATGTTAGTCACTGACATTGGTGACATTTCCACTTGTTTTTTAATTTCCAAAAACTAGTCAGCATCAAACTGCCATAGTGTATCAAACATCCTCTACAGCATCCGCACTAACTCTAGCTGCTCAGCTCTTTTCTATGCATGCAAAGTAGTAGTATCTACTACTCCTGGATACAGGGTGTTATTCTCGGAGTGGGAAAAGAGGGAAAACTTCAAAATAACTCAATACAGACATGTCTACAAAGGGCTTATGGTCTAAATGCAATATATCAAGAGTTTCCAGAATAAAAAATATATATTTTGGAGAAGAGGGAATAGGAGAGAAACGTTCTGAATGACGTAATATGTGTTTAAACCCTTGAAAAATAGGATAAATATAGATGTAGTACAGTTTGGAAGAGTAAGGTAGGAAAGGAGTATTCCAAAAACAAGCACAGTAAGAAAAAAACAAAAAAACTCTTCTTAATGCAACAAAATAGCCCAGCTATCTTTAGTATTTATGTAATAAATACACCCAGCTTCAGTATTTATGTAAAGATTATCAGCTTAATAAGAACATGCCTTTTCCTTTACAATAAATTTTACAGCCAGGCATGATGGCTGACGCCTGTAATCCCCAGCACTTTGGGAAGCCATGACGGGAGGAATGCTTGAGCCCAGGAATTCAAGACCAGGCTGGGCAAAAGAGTCAGATTCCATCTCTATTTTTTTTTAATTATAAAATAAATTTTATAACATAAATACACATAGCAAATGAGTATTACAAATTAGCTTTCTGAGGTTAAAAAAATTAATGAAGAATATAGTCGGCCAAGTGCGATGGCTCATGCCTATAATCCCAACAATTTGGGAGGCCACGGCAGGCAGATCACTTGAGGTCAGGAGTTTGAGATCAGTCTGGCCAACATGGTGAAACTCCGCCTCTACTAAAAATACAAAAATTAGCAGGGCATGGTGGCGCGTGCCTGTAATCCCAGCTACCTGGGAGGCTGAGGCATGAGAATCACTTGAACCTGGAAAGTGGAAGCTGCAGTAAGTCGAGACTGTACCACTGCACTCCAGCGTGGGCAACAGAGTGAGACTTTGTCTCCAAAAAAAAAAAGGTCATGTTTGCATTATTTATCTAAGCTTTTACATTAATAAGACAACTGAAATCCTTCAAACTTAAAAAAAAAATTCCAGAAGTCTGAGAGTAGGCAAAACAAACAACAGCTAATTTATAAAATAATTGAAACTATTTGGGTCTCAGAAGTATTTAACCACTGGCATAACAAAATTTCCATCACCGTAATACTTAAATACCATGAAGTATCACCGGGTCCAGATAACCTCAAAGACATTTTTGTTTAAGAAGACATTCATCAAAGCATATTAAAAATTAAGCAAACTAAATAATTCCTGGTGATCACTGTAACACTGACATAGATCAGTATCAATTTTTTTCAAACTGTATCTTCATTGCAGAAATTTAATATTAAGAAGTATCTTAAATTCCATACCTAAGCTAAAGATCCAAAGTAATCTCTCATTTCCTATTCACTCCAATTTTTAAGTGTCAATCACCAAATCAAATAATCCCATGGATGACACAGTATAACACAGTGAATACTATAATGGATGTGAAAAGACTTGGATTCTGCTTTTGCTCAACTTTAGCAACTTAGACAAATAAATCACTTCACTTCTGGGACCTTCAAGTTTATCAAAAGTAAAACAAGACTAGATAATCTGACTCTACGTTCTATAGATTAGCTCTTTTTTGTTTTGTTTTTTTGAGAAACAGTCTTGCTCTATCACCCAGTCTGAAGTGAGTGCAGTGGCACGATCGTGGCTAACTGAAACCTCAACTTCCCAGGCTCAGCTTCCCAAGTAGCCAGAACCACAAGTAAATTCCACTAATTTTTTAACTTTTGTAGACATGGGATCTCTCTGTTGTGCAGGTTGGTCTCAAACTCCTGGCCTCAAGGGGTCTTCTCACCTCAGCCTCCCAAAGTACTAGAATAATAGGCATGAGCCACTATGCCCAGCCATTAACATTTTATTTTAACCAATTCTGTTTGTTTTTGAGATCATTGCTAAATAAAAGTAACAGCAGCACATATGGAAGAAGCAAGCCGTCTAAAGAACTCCATAGGAACATTTGCAGTGTTTCATACAGTCTCAGACTTTCAAATGCAAAGAAAAAAACATAGGTTGTATCTGAAGACTAGCCTAGTAATATTTTGACCACACAAGTTACTTGAGTAGGAAAAAAATGGTAGAACAATTTAAGTGTTCAAGGAAAAATGCCACCACAAGAAAATCAAAATAAAAAACAGATGCTCCACATCCAGTTATTACTACATTACAGAAGCTTTTCATAGTTTTTCAGTACTCTTAAGAAACGCTAAAAGAAAATTTTTAAAAAATGTTTTCTTAACCATTTACATGTATACATGTTATTTTTTGCATCCTCAAACATGAAAAGAACCAAATATAAGATAATCTAGAGACAATTATTTGTGAATATAACTGATCTGCTCAACTATACTTCATAACTTTCTAGTATTTAGTAGTGCGCCAGAACATAAAAAGCACCTCATACTGGTTGAATAAGTGAGTAAACAAAAATATACGAATCTCTACTCTACAAATTAAGACTCTACATAATAAATTCTGATCAGCCTTTACTTAGTTTTGTATCATAGTCTAGTAAAATCCAATATCTGAAGTAAAAGAACAGATGGAACTAAATATGCAAGAGTTCCATCATTCTCAGGCATCAATAAGAATTTGAAATTACAACTAAGCTAGATCACAGAATACAATTAAATCCAAATAACCAAAACATATTTTTTAAAAAACAAATAGCCTAACATTCACCTATATCAATCCCCAGTCTATCCAAAGGCCTTTGCCTTCTATAACAGATGGCAAAGGTAAGAAAATCTTGCCAATTCTTAACATAATTTTTTAAATGCTTTTAAGGCTGGGTGCAGTGGCTTACCCCTATCATCCTAGCACTTTGGGAGGCTGAGACAGGCAGATCGCTTGAGCCCAGGAGTTCAAGAACAGCCTAGGCAACATGGTTAAACCCTGCCTCTACAAAAATTAAAAAATTAACCAGGCATGGTGGACTGCGCCTGTAGTCTCGGTGACTCGGGAGGCTGAGGTGGAACGATTACCTGAATTGGGGAAGTCAAGGCTTCAGTAAGCCGCTGTTCTTCAGCCTGGGCAAAAGAGACCCTGTGTCCAAAAAAAAAGAAAAGCTTTAAGAAAGTTATTGACTAACTTGCCTATACATTAATTTCATTATTTTTTTTTTATTAACAGGGTAGGCAAAACACAAATTTTACTCTTTTTTAAATTCAGCAAACTATTCAATTAAAAATAGGCCAGGTGCAGTGGCTCATGCCTGTAATTCCAGCACTTTGGGAGGCTGAGGCAGGCAGATCACGAGGTCAGGAGTTTAAGACCAGCCTGGCCAACATGGCGAAACCCTGCCTCTACCAAAAATACAAAAATTAGCTGGGGGTGGTGGCGGCATTCACCTGTATTCCCAGCTAATCAGGAGGCTGAGGCAGGAGAATCATTTGAACCTGGGAGGTGGAGGTAGCAGTGAGCCAATCACGCCACTGTACTCCAGCCTGGGCAACAGGGTGAGATTCCGTCTCAAAATATATATATATATTTTTTTTTGAGATGAAATATATGTATATATATTCATCTAGAGGCCATGGAGAGAATCACAGCTATATAGATATGTTACAGAAGATAACAGGTGTATTCTGATAAAATGTAATGTGAATACGTTGTTCTAATTAGAATCCTATGTTTATTCATTCAACAAAAATTTGCAGTGTCAATCTCTCTCTCTCTGTCTCTCATGCTCTCTCTCTCTCCTCCCCCTTCACCACCACATGGTTCCTTAAACATAAAGATAAAATTAGAGAAGGGCCTATCCTGCTCTCAAGAGATAAAACAGGTACATAAACACCTACAAGATACGAAGTGTAAACGCCATAAGAGATGTGCAGAAAAAGCATTACAGGATCCCAGAGGGAGCTGTTACCACCTCACAGATATATAATCCCTTCAACCTGTTTAAAACAACTTACTAACTATTAACTCCCTTTAGGCTCACAACAGCCAACTCTAGGAGAACAGATGTTTACCTAATATTAAAGATGAGGAAACTGAAGCACAGAAAGGTTGATTATGTTCCAAAATGTCACAGTTACAGGAAGAAATCAAGTGTCTTTGTATTATATTTTCTCCAGGCCGGGGGAGTAGTTCAACATATGGCAAGTCTTTTGTAAACGGAAAGAGTATTTTAGTATTTTAAGTAATCAGTTCCTAGTGTGAGTATTTTCTACATAGCTATATCCATATATACAATTAATCTTGATTTCCATTAACAGGTGTGGTTAAAGCAAGGCCAAGCAACTGGGTACTATAAATATTAAAATAAATAAATAAACTTCCACCGGATGTTAACAGAATGAGAAAATAAGATACAAGATTTCTCTCTCCAGTAACTTGTGGTTACTTCTGTAATTGTTACCCATTCTAAAACTGGTCTGCTTCTGAGCTCGGGCAAGTACAAGTTGGTTCATCCAATAAATATCTTCATGAAAAGGTACATAAAACATTTCAAAAAGCTATTAAAAATTAAACAATGCCATCAACTCTTCAGTTATCCACAGGACAATCACATGTGATCCAGCATCCGCAGCTATTGATCAAGGTATGTTGAACGAATGAATGAATGTTTGTAGGCATTTTTAAGTCCTGGGCCTGTTGCGCCTTGCACACTGCCATGTTCAGCCTTTTATCATTGCCTCACCGGGGTGCACACAAGGAATGTAAATTTCAATATAATTAGGATATAATTAGAGAAGTAAATCTAATGCAGGTTTACATACTAATCCCAAAGATTAGTATTACCTATACCACTACTCTCCAAGGTTAACTCTGTTGAAGAGGCACCGCGGCATGCAACATCACATAAAGAAAATTGACACTTCCTGAGCAAATAGTTTTCGTCCATATCACTTATTCCCATCTATTCCTTTAATACATGACTACTCCTGGTCCAGTTAATTTGAATAATTCAGTCTCCTCTCCATAAAGCCTGATTTTAACTACAGTTTCTCACATCCCTCTCTACCCAAAAAGGGGTGCACTCATGGACTTCGCACAAGAAAACACCAACAATAAACGGCAGAGGGTATAGGGTTCGGATCTTTGCCATCTCCACCAGTACCTAACCTTCGCCATTACACCCTGAAGCGGTCTGTTAGAAAGGTGAACTAATTTACTCTGCACGCATTTGCCACGGCTGTCACCCTCCCTAGCCCCTTCTACACTCCCAAGTCGGCCACCAACTCCGCCTCAGTGAGCCTAGGCCCGCCACCTGCGCCGGCCCCACCCGGGGCCCCGGCCGCCAGCTCTCCCTCGTGGGCCCTGCAAGGCTCCGCACGCCCCTCCGCACAGGACACCTCGGGGCCGGCCCCGGCCCGGCCACAGCCCATTCTTCCTCCAAACTCCATAAGCCTCCAATAGCCCAGCCCGAGCTCCCCGTCGCGCCCGGCTCTCCCCTGGGCAGCCAAGGGGAAGAGGCTGGCGGCCAAGACAGGTCCCGACCTGGCCAGGCCTGCGACACCCCCAGCACCGCGGAGAAGCAGTCCCGTGGGCTTCTGCCCCGGGAGCCCTCGGAAGACCCCGGACTAGCAGGAGCCCGGAGGCCGGGGTTGCAGGCTCCAGGGCCTACTCACTGGGAGCTGGCGGAGCGTGGGAGCCGACGTGCGCCCCGGCCTGAGGAGTGGGACGCAGCCCCAGCGCGCGGCCCTACGCCGGTACCTCGCTCGGCGCTGCGAGCCGGGCGCTCACTCCAGTCGCTGCCGCCGCTGTTGCTGCTTCCCCACCTTGGCCGCCATCTTGACTCAACCCCTCTCCCTCCCCCCAGCCCCGGCAGCCGCGGCTAAGGCGGCTCCGGCGCGGGCTCCTCCTCCTTCCGGAGAGTTGGGAGACCGACTCCCTCCGCTGGCGGTGCGCCTCTCCTACCTCGGCGGAGCTTCCAGGGTTGCGCCGCGCCCGGTCCCCTCACGTCTCCTCTAGGCCTGGCAGCGGCAGTCCTCTTGGATGGAGACGGGGCCGGGCAGCGCCCAGCCGGATTCAGAGCGGCTGCCATCGTGCCCCAGGCCTGTGCGCAACCCCCCCCACCCAACGAGCCAATCTGTTCCCGCGTGCCCGAGGCCTTCCCCGGGCGTGGGAACAGGAAAAACGCCAGGCCGTGCCAGGGACCCTGCAACCCCTCCGCTGTGTGGCGGGACGGCGGTGGCTGCAGAGAGGGAGGCCGGATCCCCCTCGTGGCTGGGAGCCAGAGGGGTGCATTTCGACCTGCCCAACATACTTTATAGGGCTCTGGCTGGAATTCGCACCCAAGTCCTCGCTGAAATCCCGGGCGAGGCCAATTTGTCCCAGATGTTACTTCTTAATCATAAATAACTAGCAAGAGGAGTCTGTGGCCCTCGCGACTGTGAAGTGCATTCTTAGCTTCCCTCTGCTGGGGAAATGACTGGATGGTTCCTCGTAACCGCACGCATACTTACCTTGAGAAAAGCCAGGCCCGACCGGGCACGGTGGCTCACGCCTGTAATCCCAGCACTTTGGGAGGCCAAGGCGGGCCGATCACCTGAGGTCAAGAGTTCGAGACCAGGCTGGCCAACATGGAGAAACTCCTGTGATAACCTGCTTTTTGTTAGCTTAAACGGACTCTCTCTTTCTTAGCTGAGAGCTGTTCAGGCTTCTTGTTAGCTTCTTGAGCCGGACAGACTCTATCTTAGCTTCTTCATTTTAGTTATTCCCCTCTTTAAGTATGTAACTGTCGTATGTAGCTGGGGCAGGATAACACTGGGCACATCCTGGAGTGCATTTGCTAATAAAAGGCTGAGTTGAGCGGTACCAGCAGAGCCTGAGAAAGAAGGTGCTTTCGAGTACCCAGAGCCCCCATATGTGTAAATTGTATGTCTTTTTATGACAGCTTTAGCCCTTGCACCGGTACTGTTTTATTTCTCACGTACTAGTTTATCTTTTAACTTTTTGCTTTCTCTGCATCTGTGAAAAAACTGCTTCAGCTAGTTTTCCCCCTCCCTTTTCAAACTAGGGTATAAAAAAATCCCCTAACTTTTGGGCATTAGCAACCTCTCGGTTGCCTGCTAAAATAAGGGACTCATAATTCAATCTCAGAGCGTGGCGCATTCCTTAATTCGCTTGGGTGTAATACTCCGTCTCTACTAAAAATACAAAAAATAACCGGGCGTGGCGCCTGTAATCTTAGGTACTGGAAGGGGCTGAAGTGGGAGAATTGCTTGAACACACGGGAGGTGGAGGTTGCAGCAAGCCTAGAATACGCCACTGCACTCCAGCCTGGGCGATAGAGCCAGACCCAGTCTCAAAGAAATAAAGGGCCAGGCGCAGTGGCTTATGCCTGTTATCCCAGCACTTTGAGAGGCCGAGGCGGGGCAGATCAGGAGGTCAGGAGTTCAAGACCAGCCTGGCCAATATGGTGAAACCCCATCTCTAGTAAAAATATAAAAATTAGCTGGGCTTCGTAGCGCACGGCTGTAGTCCCAGCCACTCGGGAGGCTGAGGCAGAAATCGCTTGAACCCGGGAGGCAGAGGTTGCAGTGAGCAGAGATCGCGCCACTGCACTCCAGCCTGAGCTACAGAGCGAGACCTGTCTCAAATAAAATGAAAAAAAAAAGGCCATCCAAAAGTGAGAAGGAAAAACAAAGCCGGTTTATCTGGCCGTTTTGGAAAACTGTCATCTGGATAACGGGCTGTCTAACCCTGTAATTACGAGAAAAACCCAAGTTTTAAGAAACGAGTTGAAGAAGAGGAACTCTTCCTACAAGAAATGGAAGTTTATATATAAGACGCTTCCCTTTAAACCGATTGTACAGTGTGGTAGGACTCGGATAGGAAACTGGACGGCAAGGAGACTTTGTTAAAACACAAGAGAACCCCTAGCGTAAAGCCTCAAGCCTCCGGAGCATGTCGGCGGAACGGACTTAACCACGGAACCCCACTTCCCGGGTGCAGTTTTCCAGCCGGAGTCAGGGTCAGAGGCAGTCTTTCCTACTGCGCAGGCGCGGTGCTACTTACCCATTAGGGAAGCAATGTGGCTACTGTGCCTGTCAGCGGTGATCCTGGCATGGGGCTTCCTATGGGTTTGGGACTCCTCAGAACGAATGAAGAGTCGGGAGCAGGGCGGACTGCTGGGAGCCGAAAGCCGGACTCTCCTGGTCATAGCGCACCCTGACGATGAAGCCATGTTTTTTGCTCCCACAGTGCTAGGTTTGGCCCGCCTAAGGCATCGGGTGTACCTGCTCTGCTTCTCTGCAGGTAGGAGGCCACAGGAGGGGAGATGGGAGCCGGGACTGTGACGGGGATTTCGGTGCTAATCGATCTCAGTTGCCTTCTTCACAAAGAGTGACCTCTAGGGAGCTAAGTGAATATACGGAAAGTCTTACCTCTGACCCCCTCACGGGCTGGGGACTGGAACGGCCGGTTTATCAGGTGGGTTGGGCGACATCGGCAGCTCGCGTACTACGCAGACAGGATTGAGGAGCAGAGAAACAGTTGCAGTTTGTTACATTCAGTACCTGCATTTCCGTTGGGAACCACACTGTACTTGTTATTCGGTGGAACTTCTTTTTATTTTGAGAAGGAGCAAGAATATTGACCTTACTTACTACAGTGTATGAAACAGAATCTATGCTGTATCATGCCTGCTCAATCCTTAATTTCTGATGATAGCAAAAGACCTTCCTGCTGCTTTTAAAATGCAACTTGTGCTTGTAAGATGCATGTGTCAAATTGAAGAAGTAGACTTAGATGATTAGGTAGAAAATAATTTCGTAGGTGGTTTTAGAGTTCAACTCCACCCAGCTTTCAGTGAGGGAACCTTTCAAATAATAGATTTTTGCTTTTAATAGAAAAAAGATCAAATGACAAAGCAAATATTGACCATCATGCTGGAATATGGTGATAATTGAGCAGTTGTATAAATGAAGTAATTGAATTGTACACATACAATGGGTGAATTTTATGGTATGTAAAATTGTACCTCAATAAAACTTTTTTAAAATTGCCCATGACCTCTTTTCCCATTTGCTTGTGTGTCTTTCCAATTCTTTTTCTATACAGCTTTTTCACAGAAATCACATATTATAAAATTTTATATTATTTTTACTTAACATTACTTTTCCGTTTACTTAGCAAATACCTATTAAAAATTAATGTGCTAGGCCTTATTCTATGCCCAAGGGATACAAAAGTGAACACAAGCTAGATTAAGAGCAGTGTCCTCATGAAGCATAAAACATCTCCCATATTAATTAAATCTAAATGTATAGCCTGTTAAATGGCTTCATCAGGATAAAACCTTAGTCATCCTTTATTGTTTGTATATTTCGAGGGTTTTTTCCTAGTTTATTGAAAAGAGCAGAGAACATCTTTGTGTATATTATTTCATTAGTATTAATGTCTAAAATTGGCTGTTTTAACACTGCATTCAAAGCACATTCCTGAAAAACCATATACCAAGTCTTCCTTTTTTTTTTTTGAGACGGAGTCTCGCTCTGTCGCCTAGGCTGGAGTGCAGTGGCGTGATCTGAGCTTACTGCAGCCTCGGCCTCCCTGGTTCAAGTGATATTCCTACCTCAGCCTCCTTAGTGCTGGGATTACAGGGATGCACCACCACGCCCAGATAATTTTTGTATTTTTAGAAGAGACAGGGTTTCACCATGTTGGTCAGGCTGGTCTCAAACTCTTGACCTCTAGGAATCCACCCACTTCAGCCTCCCAAAGTGCTGGGATTACAAGTGTGAGCCACCACACCTGGCCTACCCATTTACATTCTTACTGACACTAATGAGAGTATCCATCTTAATATATTACTTTCTGTAGCATTGACTGATATTTTTTATAAATTTATTGATTTACTATCTTCTCTCTCCCCCAATTTTTTTTTTTTTTAAAAAGACAGGGTTTCACCTTGTTGGCCAGGCTGGTCTGGAACTCCTGACCTAAAGCAGTCCACCTGCCTCGGCCTCCCAAAGTGCTGGGATTACAGGCATGAGCCACCACATCCGGCCCCCCAGAATTTTTATTACCAGTAAAGAGTAAACCATTTTACATATTTATTGAGAATTTGAGTCCAAGCACTTTTCTTCTAAATTTATGCTCTGTTAAGGATATTAACTGCAAATAGTTGCAAGTAATAGCACCATTTTTTCTTAGCTTTTAGGTTTGGTGGAGTTTTTCATTGTTGTTGCAGTTCACTGCAACCTCCAACTCCCAAGTTCAAGCAATTCTCCTACCTCAGCCTCCCAAGTAGCTGGTACTGGGAGCTGGCGCCTGTGCACCAGGTGCCGGTCTAATTTGTATTTTTAGCGGAGCTGAGGTTTTGCCATGTTGGCCAGGCTGGTCTCAAACTCCTGACAAGTGACTGCCCACTTTGGCCTTCCAAAGTGCTGGGATTACAAGTATAAGCCACCGCACCTGGCTAACTTTTAGTTGTATTTGTATTTTATATTACAACTATAGAAGCCAAATTATAAGCAAGTTTGTTACAAGATCTTCAACGAGAACCCTAGTTTTGCAAAATGCTATACATACAGCTCTTTAATAAACTTATCCTTATTTTCAATAGGTTCATAAAAATTTAAGACCAGAATTGAAAATTTTTTCAAATAAACCATATAGACTGGGCGAGGTGGTTCTCACCTGTAATCCCAACACTTTGGGAGACTGAGGCGGGTGGATCATGAAGTCAAGAGATTGAGACCATCCTGGCCAACATGGTGAAATCCCGTCTCTAATAAAAAATAGAAAAATTACCTGGGCATGGGGTTGTGTGCCTATAGTCCCAGCTACTCAGGAAGCTGAGGCAGGAGAAGTGCTTGAACCCAGGAGGTGAAGGATACAGTGAGCAGAGATCGTGCCACTGCACTCCAGCCTGGGTGACAAAGCAAGACTGCATCTCAAAAAAAAAAAAAAAAAATATATATATATATATATATAGAGAGAGAGAGAGAGAGAGAGAGAGAGAGAGAGAGAGAGCGCACACGCACATGGACTTGGCACTGAATATTTTTATTGTCTTTTATTATTTCCTCTGAATCCAACTTACCATCTTGTTTTTTCTTTTATGTTATTTATTCTTTATTTCTTTATTCGGGTTTTGTTTATTATTTTTTTTTTTTTTGATGCGGAGTCTCACCCTGTCACCCAGGCTAGAGTGCGGTGGCTCAATCTTGGCTCACTGCAACCTCTGCCTCCTGGGTTCAAGGAGTTCTTCTGCCTCGGCCTCCTGAGTAGTAGCTGGGATCACAGGTGCTCACCATCACACCCGACAAATTTTTGTGTTTTTAGTAGAGACAGGGTTTTACCATGTTGGCCAAACTGGTCTCGAACTTCTGACCCTAAGGTGATCCACCTGCCTCGGCTTCCCAAAGTGCTGGGACTACATGTGTGAGCCACCACACACAGCCTGTTTGTTTATTTTATAAAGATGGGATCTTGCTCTGTCCTCTTGACTGCACTGCCAGCTCTCATATCAGGTGACAGAGCAAGACCCTGTCTTTATAAAATAAACAAAACATTAATAAATAACATACAAGAAAAAACAAAATGGTAAGTTGGATTCAGAGGAAATAATGAAAGACAATAAAAATATTGAATGCCAACTGCGTGCTCTATATTTTTTACTTGAAAAAATTTTCAATTCTTGTCCCCAATTTTTATGAACATAATGAAAATAAGGATAAATATGAAATATAAATAAAACTGGCCAGGGATGGTGGCTCACGCCTGTAATCCAAGCACTTTGGAGGCCAAGGCGGGTGGATCACCTGAGGCTGGGAGTTCAAAACCAGCCTGACCAACATGGTGAAACCCCATCTTAAAAAAAAAAAAGAAAAGAAAAAAGAAATATAAATAAAACTAAAATCTGGCCAGATCATAGTTCCCTGCAGTCTCCAAGTCTTGGGCTCAAGTGATCCTCCTGCCTCAACAGCTGAGACTACAGGCGTGTGCCAGCACACCCAACCTTTTTTTTTTTTTTTTTTTTTTTTTTTTGAGGCAGAATCTCACTTTATTGCTCAGGCTGGAGTGCAGAGGCGAAATTTTGGCTCACTGCAACCTCTGTCTCCCGAGTTCAAGAGATTCTCCTGCCTCAGCCTCCCAATTAGCTGGGACTACAGGCGTGCTCCATCATGCCTGGCTAATTTTTATATTTTGGTGAGACGAGGTTTCACTATTTTGTCCAGGCTGGCCTTGAACTCCTGACCTAAGGTGATCCGCCCAGCTTGGCCTCCCAATGTGCTGGGATTGCAGCATGAGCCACCATGCCCAGCCTAAAATTACTTTTTAAATTCACAATTCATTCAAACGTGTTGATTAAACATTCTCTATACTGCTGACTTAACATTCTAATATGAAAAACAGGAAGCTAATAATTTGTAATATAATGAAAGCTATGATATTTTGATGGAGAAAGTACTATGGACCCAAAATGGAAAAAAGCATTAATTCTCTTTTCAGGGGTTTAGATTAAGGAAATCTTCTCCAAATTGGTTTTCTTTGGAGCTGGGCTTTAAAAATAGGAGTAGCTATATATAGCAAGCAAGCAGTAGTAAAGGGATCAGTAAATCTTGGATTCACATGAATAATTCATTATAACAAGATCTCCAGTTAAAGGGAAGAGAAGCAGCAGGGAAAAAAATAATAATTTTTTTGTTATTGGTGACTCATTTCATCATGTCAGCAACTCTGTGAGGTAGGTACTATTGTTATTTCCATTATACAGATATGGGAACTGAATCACAAAGTTTAAGTAACAACCAAAGTGACCAGCTACAGTGTAAAGGAGCCACGACCCTGTGGTTCTTATCTGTTCTAAAACCATTAAACCCAATCCGCCTCTTACATTGCCTTGTATGCCTTGTCAGTTGATGAAATATCTAAACTGATTCCCAGTGTATGTTAACATTAGTTCATCCAGCTGCTATTATAAAAAAAAAAAAAACACCAGACATGGTGGCTCACACCAGTAATCCCAACACTTTGGGAGGCCAAGGCAGGTGGATCATGAGGTCAGGAGTTTGAGACCACCCTGGCCAAAACAGTGAAACCCATCTCTACTAAAAATACAAATATTAGCCAGTTGTGGTGGCACATGCCTATAATCCCAGCTACTTGGGAGACAGGCAGGAGAATCACTTGAACCCAGGAGGTAGAGGTTGCAGTGAGCCAGAATTTTACCTCTGCACTCCGGCAGGAGGATCACTTGAGTCCAAGACTTGGAGACTGCAGGAAACTATGATCTGGCCAGATTTTAGTTTTATTTGTATTCCATATTACAACTATAGGAGTCAAATTATGAGCAAGTTTGTTTCAAGATCTTCAAGACAAGCCTAGATTTTATTTGAAAAATATCATAGGTAGAGCTCTTTAATAAAATTTATCTTTATTTTCATTAGGTTCATAAAAATTTGGGACTAGAATTGAAAATTTTTTCAAGTAAAAAATACAGAGCATGCAGTTGGCATTCAGTATTTTTATTGTCTTTTATTATTTCCTCTGAATCCAACTTACCATTTTGTTTTTTCTTGTATGTTATTTATTAATGTTTTGTTTATTTTATAAAGACAGTGTCTTGCTCTGTCACCTGATATGAGAGCCGATAGTACAGTCAAGAGGGGAAAGGCTCTAGACAGAGCAAGATCCCATCTTTATAAAATAAACAAACAGGCTGTGCGTGGTGGCTCACACCTGTAATCCCAGCACTTTGGGAGGCTGAGGCAGGCGGATCACCTGAGGGTCAGAAGTTTGAGACCAGTTTGGCCAACATGGTGAAACTCTGTCTCTACTAAAAATAAAAAGTGCAAAAATTAGGCTGGCATGGTGGCGCATGCCTGTAATCCCAGCTACTTGGGAGGCTGAGGCAGGAAAATCACTTGTACCTGGTAGGTGGAGGTTGCAGTAAGCCGAGATCAACAGGAGCTTTTTCACCTTTATATGATTTTCTTTCTCTCCCTTTCTTTCTTTCTTTCTTTCTTTCTTTCTTTCTTTCTTTCTTTTCTTTCTTTCTTTCTTTCTTTCTTTTTCTTTCTTCCTTTCTCTCTCTCTGTCTGTCTTTCTCTCTCTCTCTTTCCTTCTCTTTCTTTTTTTGTAGAGATGTTGCTATATTCCCCAGGCTGGTCTTGAATTCCTGGCCTCAAACAATGTTCCTGCCTTCCAAAGTGCTGGGAGCTGGGATTATAGGCATGAGCCATCCCACCCAGCTTCTTACTAATACCTGTATTTTTTGAGACACAGGGTCTCACACTGTCACCCAGTCTGTAGTGCAGTGGTGTGGTCATGGTTCACTATAGCCTCAAACTCCTGGGCTCAAGTGATCCTCCCACCTCAGCCTCCCAAGTAAGTGGGACTACAGGCATGCCCAGCTAATTTTTAAAAATTTTCTTTTGTAGAGACAGGGTCTCACTATGTTAACCAGGCTGGTTTTGAACTCCTAGCCTCAAGTGATCCTCCTGCCTCAGCCTTCCGAAGTGCTGGGAATACAGACATGAGCCACGTTGCCTGGCTTTGATTTTTTTTTAATATGAATCTATTACCTATTTAGAATAAATTAATTTATAATTGTTTTAATAAAATAAAATTTATACCTTCATAACTTGTGATGTTTACAAAATATCTTTACTTTGTTTGCAAAATATCTTTACTTTGTATTAAATGTGATTATGATTGCTAGTTATGACAGAAGTATGTCATGGGAAGACTAACATACAATTATGCATGAGCTTATACATAAACACAAACATAATGTAGTTTTACATCTAGAAATTACATTAATTTTATTATTTTCTGTTTCCTAGAATAATGGTCTCAAAACTCTTTGGTCACATTTTTCTATTGGTAAAAAGTGATCATATATTCCCATTAAATGTATATTTATTTACAATTTATTGTAAGTACACAGATACCTTAACTAATGTGTACATTAAAAACATTAACAAAAACTTACATTTTAGAAAACAAAGTAAACAAATTAGAGGGAGACAGCTGAGCAGCATGGTTCATGCCTGTAATCCCAGCACTTCGGGAGGCCGAGGCAGGCAGATCACGAGGTTGGAAGTTCAAGACCAGCCTGACCAACATGGAGAAACCTCATCCCTACTAAAAATACAAAAAATTAGCCAGGCATGGTGGCACATGGCTGTAATCCCAGCTACTTGGGAGGCTGAGGCAGGAGAATCACTTGAACCCGGGAGGCGGAGGTTGCAGTGAGTCAAGATTGTGCCATTGCACTCCAGCCTGGGCAACGAGAGCGAAATTCCGTCTTGGGTACCTGTATCCCAGCCACTAAAGAGGCTGAGGCAAGAGAATTGCTTGAACCCAGGAGGTGGAGGTTGCAGCGAGCCAGGATCACACCACTGCACTACAGCCTGGGTGACAACAGCAAAACTCTTCCTCAAAAAAAAAGAAAGATAATTAGGGGGAGACATTCTAATGCTTTTCCTCCACCACCCCAAAAGATTATTTTGTGCATCCCAGGGTGCACCTGTCTCACTTAGACATTGTTCTAGAATGTATCAATTAAAGCTGCTGAAGGATCTCAGACATGTGTTCTGTTGAAGTGCCTACACGTTCACCAAACTTAATGAAAACAGTTAAAATGGTCCTTGACTTCAGCTTCCAGGACTGTTAGAAGTTCCTTAATTCACACACAAAGCAATAAAACTGGCCCCAATAAAACACATTAGCCTCAATCCTAAGCAGTTTTTGATAACCATAATCATAGGCTAATTTGCACAGCCTCTGAACTTAGCAATTGTGACACTAATGTACATGAGACTATTTATCACAAAAAATCAAGTAATCTAGGGAGAAAAAAATGGGAGAGGGTATGTGTAGCAATTTTTTTAAGTCACAAAATAGTTTCTGACTTTAAAAAATGTATAAAAAGATATGATAAGGACAATACAAAACTAAACCTGTTATCTGCAGTCTTTTTAGGATTAGTCTCTATTGAATATAGTGTAATGACTTTCCTATCTGCCTTCAAACCACTCAAAGCTAGCACTAGAAAGACCCTTGCCAAAGTTGAAAGGTTTCACGTGAGAGTTTTAGTAAACTTAGCAAAACTTAGTTTTACTAAGAGAAAAACTAAGGTAAGCGGAACCTCTCTTTTTGTTCATAAGTGTCTACAGTGTGCTGGATATCAGGGATGATACAAAGTTAAATGAGACCATGACTTTTAAGATCAATTACTTTTTTTTTTTTTGAAACTGAGTCTCACTCTTGTCGCCCAGGCTGTAGTACAGTGGCATAATCTCAGCTTACTGCAGCTTCCACCTCCTGGGTTCAAGTGATTCTCCTGCCTCAAGCTCCCAGGTAGCTGGGATTACAGGCAGCTGCCACAACACCCAGCTAATTTTTGTATTTTTAGTAGAGATGGGTTTCACCATATCAGTCAGGCTGGTCTCGAACTCCTGACCTCAGGTGATCCACCTGCCTCGGCCTCCCAAAGTGTTGAAATTACAGGCATAAGCCACCAAGCCTGGCCAGTGACATTTAGAAATTAATAATCTGATCATGGAGAAAGTTTATACTTATGAATAGAATACCAGAAATTATTGCTCTAGAAAAGGCCTCCTAGAGGAGATGATTTGATGTGGATGATGAAGATGCATTGTAATTCAGGAAGAAAGAAAGGAGAAGAGGAGGATGATAAACATAAAAAGGTCAGGGAAAGAGAAAACCAACACAGTACCTAATTGGATCCTTTCATATCTATATATTAATGTAATCATACATATAATCATAATCTCCCAGAAAGCCATATGAAATAGCCACTATCAACTAGGCACCATGGCTCATGCCTGTAATCCCAGCACTTTGAGAGGCTAAAGCAGGCGGATGATGAGGTCAGGAGTTCCAGACCAGCCTGGCCAACGTGGTGAAACCTCTGTCTCTACTAAAAATGACAAAAATTAGCTGGATGTGGTAGTGGGTGCCTGTAATCCCATCTACTTGGGAGATTGAGGCAGGAAAATCACTTGAACCTGGGGGGCAGTGGTTGCAGTGAGCCAAAATTGCACCACTGCACACCAGCCTGGGCGACAGAGCAAGACTTGTTTCAAAAAAAAAGAAATAGCCATTATCCCCACTTAACTGGTGAAAAAAATATAAGAAGTTTAGTAATTTGCACAAATCAGACATGCATTATTTGCTGGAGAGTTGAATTAAGAGGTGCATTAGCTGGATAGTTGCTAAAAATGAGTGCAACTTAGATGATACCAAAATGTCACTGGATTATTATTTGTAAGGATACAGAGGAGTTTTATTTACCAGAACTATTCTTAGGGAACATAGTATATGTGTTGGGAACATAGAGAATATATAAGTTGTTTGGTGTGCCAGTGGAATCAAGATCCCCTTGGGGTATGCTGGATAGCTGGCTGTGAAACTCTTCAAAAGAGCATGCTTTCCTAAATGGTTTCTGCACATTTTCCTGTAATACTCAGGAGTACCAGCCTTTATTTTCTTTTTCATTTTCTGTACCAACAAGAATGAGCTTGGAAAGCCTCATCCTTAAATCAATGTTAAACAGTTATTTGAGGACTATCAGTGAAGAGGAGCCCCACTTGTTCTGAGTACCCATACTTGGGTTGATCCTAAATCTGCTTAACTTCAAAGTTAGTACCCTTGGTTGTGTACCATGCTGCCTCTAACGTGTGACTGAAATGCAGACAGACAGATAGGTAGATAGATACAGAGATGGGAAAGAATTGTAAATTGTGGTTCTAAAGATTGTGCTACTGGTAATCTTCTCACAGGAGTATCCTGGTGTTGTGTTTTCTTCAACTTTGTATCATAATCACACATTTTCAGGCAACTTAAATCCTTTAGGGAACAAAAACAGGATAAGAATGAGTGAATAGCTAGGTCTCCACTGTTAAAGAAATCTACCAGTATATATTTGTTATCCTCAGGAAATTACTACAATCAAGGAGAGACTCGTAAGAAAGAACTTTTGCAGAGCTGTGATGTTTTGGGGATTCCACCCTCCAGTATAATGATTATTGACCACAGGTAATATATTTTTTAACAATGTAGAAATTTATTGGCAATAAATATGCAGTGGTATACTCAAAAGACACCCAAAAAACTAATGTGAGTGGCTAAGAACATCTTGTATGAAAAGTCTAAATGTGGTGTGGTGGCTCACACCTGTAATCCCAGCACTTTGGGAGGACGAGGCCAGTGGATTGCTTGAGGTCAAGAGATGGAGACCATCCTGGCCAACATAGTGAAACCCCATCTCTACTAAACATACAAAAATTAACTGGGTGTGGTGGTGGGTGCCTCTAGTCCCAGCTACTTGGGAGCTGAGGCAGGGGAATCGCTTGAACCCGGGAGGTGAAGGTTGCAGTGAGCCAAGATCATGCCACTGCACTCCAGCCTGGTGACAGAGCAAGACACCATCTCAGAAAAAAAAAAAAAAAAACAAGTTTGGAATTGGAACTTTTGTTTAAAAGGGAGCAAAAAGAAAGAAAGAAAAAAAAACGACAAAATGTTTTTTTATAAATTTCAAAAATACACAAAAGCATAAAGAACAATATTGTAAATCCCCATGTGCCTATTACCTAAACTCAGTATTATCAAGATTTTGCTATACAGTGCTTGTTTCTTCATCTGTCCCTAACTTAACATCTTTTGTGTATATGAAGCATTAAAAAAAAAATAATCCAGCCATCAGGTTTTTTACCCCTAGATAACTAGGTCTGTGTCTGTTAAGAAGATGGGACAATTTTCCTATAGCTACAGCCATTATCAGTACATTTAACCATATATTTTTTCTTTTTTCTTTTTCTTATTATTTTACATTTAACCATATTAACAATATGGTTACTATTGTAATTACTATTGAATTACTGTTATTGTTGATATTGTTAATTTGATGGGGTGTTCTGTTATGAACACCCAGTTCATATCAGAATTTCTTTAGGTAGCTCAAAAATTTCTTTTCACAGTTGGTTTACTCAAATCACCATCTTGACAAAGACCACATATTGGTTGATATCATTTAATTCCCCTTTTCTCCATTCATTGGTGGATTTGTTGAAGAACCTGAATTATGTTGTCATACAGAATGTCCTACATTCTGGATTTGTCTGTTTGTTTCCTGTATGTCTAAGTTCAGGCCTAGGCTGGAGCGCAGTGGCATGATCTCGACTCACTGCAACCTCTGCCTCCAGGGTTCAAGTGATTCTCTCACCTCAGTCTCCCAAGTAGTTGGGGTTACAGGCACTCACCACCACAGCTGGCTAATTTTTTGTATTTTTAGTAGAGATGGGGTTTCATCATATTGGCCAGGCTGGTCTCGAACTTCTGACCTCAGGTGATCCGCCTGCCTCAGCCTCTCAAAGTACTGGGATTACAGGCATGAGCCACTGTGGCCGGCCTTTTTTTTTTTTTCTTTGCATACTGCAAATCAGATTTGGGTCTAACTTTTTGGAGGGCAAGAATACTTCATAGGCTGTACTATGTACTTTGTATCATATCAGAAGACGTGTACTATCTGATTGACCTATAGTGAATCTACAGTTGATCAGTGAGTTCAGATAGCAGTGACTACCTTTGTTTTAAAGACCCCCATTAACCTTTCATATGTTCTCATGACTGTTGCCTGAGTCATTATTGAGCTAGAAGTTGCAAAATGCTGAGTTTCCAATTGTCTCACATATTCTATGTGTACTAGCTGTAATTCTTTTGTAAAACAGAACTTTCACTATTAATTGGGGCTACTTTGTTTCCTTGCTGTATATAATAATATGAAACAAAAAGACAGGATAGATGCTTAATTTTTCCCTTTGATTGATATTTTCAGAATAAAGAGTCGATACCCTGTGTACCTACAGTTGTGATCTATTGCTTTTCTGTTTCTTGAATGGGGAGGACACTTTTAACTTTCATTAGGAACTTAGGTTTTTTTCTGTATATGGTGTTTCACGTTCAGTCATATGTTCTCTAACACTAAATTGTCTCATGTTTGGCCAGTGAGTCTCTTCATGTTGACCTATATGTCCTTTTGATATAATCTCTTTGTCTTTTATGATTTCCTTCCTTGCTTTCAAGTAAAATAAGACTTTCCAGTACTATCTTGTATGCTTTCCTGCTCCAGTTCTGAAATGAGCTATTTCTCCAAAGAGCCTTTGTCTTAGTAGTGAATGGTATTTAGAAGACATAACCAGCATAGTAGGAGTGTTCATTGCAATAGCGTTATTATTCTCATTGCTACTTGACCTTTATAGTGAACAGAGCTAGGAGGTATGTTTTTTGTGTGCTTTGGATTTTTTAGAGACAGTATCTAACTGTTACCCAGGGTGGAGTGAAGTGGTGTGATCATAATTCATTGTAGCCTTGAACTCCTGGGTTCAGGCAATCCTCCTGCCTCAGCCTTCCAAGTAGCTGGGACTATAGGCACGTGCCACCACACCTGGCTAATTTTTTTTTTTTTTTTTTTTTTTTGAGATGGAGTCTCACTGTCACCCAGGCTGGAGTACAATGGCTCTATCTCAGCTCACTGCAACCTCTGCCTCCCAGTTTCAAGTGATTCTCTTGCCTCAGACTTCTGAGTAGCTGGGATTACAAGCATGCACCACCACGTCTGGTTAATTCTTATATTTTTAGTAGAGATGGGGTTTCACCATGTTGGTCAGGCAGGTCTTGAACTCCTGACCTTGTAATCTCCCCACCACGACCTCTCAGTCCTAGGATTACAGGTCTGAGCCACCGTGCCTGGCCACACCTGGCTAATTAAAAAAAATTTTTTTTTGAGACAGAGTTTTGTTCTTGTTGCCCAGGCTGGGGTGCAGTGGTCTGATCTCCGCTCACCACAACCTCTGCCTCCCAGGTTCAAGCATTTCTCCTGCCTCAGCCTCTCCAGTAGCTGGGATTACAGGCATGCACCACCACACTCAGCTAATTTTGTATTTTTAGTAGCGACGGGTTTCTTCATGTTCATCAGGCTGGTCTCAAACTCCTGACCTCAGGTGATCCACCCACCTTGGCCTCCCACAGTGCTAGAAATTTTTTTTTTTTGACATGGAGTCTTGCTCTGTCTCTGGGCTGGAGTGCAGTGGCACAAGCTCAGCTCACTGCAACCTCCACCTCCTGGGTTCAAGTGATTCTTCCGCCTCAGCCTCCCGAGTAGCTGGGACCACAGGCACGTGCCACCACGCCCAGCTAATTTTTTTTTTGTATTTTTAGTAGAGATGGGGTTTCACCAAGGTGGCCAGGATGGTCTCAATCTCTAGACCTCGTGATCCACCTACCTTGGCCTCCCAAAGTGCTAGGATTACAGGAGTGGGCCACCACGCCCGGCAGTTTTTTGTTTTTTTTTTTAGACAGAGTCTTGCTTTGTCACCCAGGCTACAGTATAGTGGCATGGACTTGGCTTACTGCAACCTCTGTATCCCAGATTTATGTAATTCTCATGCCTTAACCTCTGGAGTAGCTGGGATTACAGGCCCTCCCCACTACACTCAGCTAATTTTTATATATTTGGTAGAGACGAGGTTTCACCATGTTGGCCAGGCTGATCTCAAACTCCTGACCTCAAGTGATCCACCTGTCTCGGCCTCCCAAAGTGCTGGAATTACAGGAGTCAACCACCACAACTGGCCTAATTTTTTTTCTTACTTTCTGTGGTTTGTACTGGCCTAATTTTTACTTTTTTTTTTTTTTTTGAGATGGAGTCTTGCTCTGTCATCAGGCTGGAGTGCAGTGGTGTGATCTCAGCTCACTGCAACCTCCACCTCCTGGATTCAAGCAATTCTCCTGCCTCAGCCTTCTGAGTAGCTGGGACTACAGGTGTGTGCCACCATGTCCAGCTAATTTTTTTGTATTTTTTGTAGAGACGGGGTTTCACCATGTTGGCCAGGATGGTCTCAATTTCTTGCCTTCATGATCCACCTGCCTCGGCCCCCCCAAAGTGCTGGGATTACAGGTATGAGCCACTGCACCTGGCCTTAAATTTTTTATAGAGAGGGGATTTTGCTGTGTTGCCCAAGCTGGTCTTGAACTCCTAGCTTCAAGCCATCTTCTCATCTCATCTTCCTAAAGCACTGTGATTACAGGCATGAGCCACTACACCTAGCCTATATATATATATGTGTGTGTGTGTGTGTGTGTGTGTGTGTGTGTGTATTTTTTTTTTTAATACAGTCAAATTTAGCAGTAGGGGCCAGCCTTTTTTTTTTTTTTTTTTGAGATGGAGTCTTGCTCTGTCACTCAGGCTAGAGTGCAGTGGTGCAATCTCAGCTTACTGCAGCCTCCACCTCCAGGTTCAAGTGATTATGCTGCCGCAGCCTCCTGAGTAGCTGGGGCGACCAGCATGCGCCACTACGCCCGACTAATTTTTGTATTTTTAGTAGAGATGGGGTTTCACCATATTGGCCAGGCCAGTCTCAAACTCCTGACCTCATGATTTGCCCACCTTGGCCTCTCAAAGTGCTGGAACTACAGGCATTTGCCACCACGCCCAGCCTTTTTTTTTTTTTTTTTAAGGAAAAAAAAATCAGAAATGTATACAGATGATTATTTCAAAGTTAATATCTCAGGGGTTTTGTTTAACATTGTTGATATTTACAGTGGAATCTCTGGCTGGGTGCAGTGGCTCCTAACTGTAATCCTAGCACTTTGGGAGGCCAAGGTGGACAGATGGCTTGAGCCTAGGCATTTGAGACCAGCCTGGGCAATATGGCGAAACCCCATCTTTACTAAAAATACAAAAAATTTGCTGGATGTGGTGGCATGCCCATAATCCCAGCTACTTGGGTGACTAAGGTGAGAGGATCACCTGAGCCCAGAAGGTGGAGGCTACAGTGAGCCAAGATCGTGACACTGAACTCCAGCCCAGGTAACAGAGTGAGACCCTGTCCCAAAAGAAAAAAAAAAAAAGAATCTCTTCTGTCACACTGAAAGTCCTTTTCTAAGAACATGAACATAATTACTTACTTTCTTCTCTAATCTTTTAAAGAATTCCATAAAACATGAAAGAAGGGGCTATTACAGTATTATGTATACTC